TCGAATGGAGAAGCTATGCGTGTGCTGCGCGCGCGTGTTGTATTGTATGCGTATCCGTACCGTCTAGAATCGAGGTGCGATGCCGTTCGTTAGTGGCGGAGGAGGAACAGAATGGTAATGCGACAAGAGTGAGAGCAGGCAGGTTACGCGCAGCCCATTGTCGTCGCGTAGTGGATGAACAGCGATCGCAAAGTGGAATGCGGGTGAAAGCTGTGGATGTAGATGTGGATGCTGGAAGGGGGGATGAGAAAGAAGAATGTCTTGGGCGGCGCCCTCGATCCTTTGGGGTGCGACGGGCTTGAAGGACAGATGAGGAGAAGCACGGAGAGGGGGAAGAAGGAGAACAGACGAGCAGAGTGTTGGAGAGGTTTGAGGAGGATGGAAAGAGGTCACAGTTGTAGTACGTTGACGGAAGCGGGGGAGGAGAAAGACGTTGCGACTGCGACACGAGACCAGAAGCTTGTCCAAGTGGCTGGTGCGTACCTATGAGAGAGAGAGAAGGGGTCCGGTTCAGGGTGTCCGTAAGGTAAGGTGAGGTCAAGGAATAGGGCCACCAGGCGAGAGTGTGAGAGACAGGATGACTGAGGGGGAGGTAGCTTGCCACCTGACGACACACAAACCGCGGGCACAGTGAGGGGAGTTGAGTTGGGTTGAGGAGAGGAGGAGGGCGAACTGAATGAGTGTGGTGTGTGTGTGTGTGTGTGTGTGTGGAAGTATGGGGTATAGATGGATGGGTGTAGGTAAGGTAGGTATGGGTGGTGTGTGTGAGTGAGTGAGTGAGTGAGTGGTGTGTGTATGTGCGTACCTATGGATGGATGTAGGCGGAGCTGGACAAGGTATCCGTAGCTCGCTAATAAGACGATGCGAGGTCAAGAGGTCGTCGTGTCGATGGGAGTAAAGAAGAGACGAGAGGGGGCCCGATCTGAAGAGGTATTCCAATAAGGTACCTACCACAAAAGTAAGGGCAGGGTACCTAAGGCAATGATGGGATAGGGCGTAGTGGGAAAAGAGGCCCAGTTTGGGTCAGTTCCAGCAAGGCCAAGCAGGTCATGCATTGGAATATGGAGGTAAGTTACCTCGAGGTGAGGTAAAGTAAAAAGTGTGGTAGCAACGGGAGTGCTCCGTAATAATGCAGATGCAGTGTGCGCAGACTTGCAGAGAGAAAGAGACAGAGAGAGTACGCTCAAGGAGAGATGCAATGCAGTCGATATCCAGCTCCAGCAGCTGCTCCAGCTCCAACTCCAGCTTCCCCAGGCCAGGCCAGGCCAGCCAGGTCCAGTCCAGTCCACCCAAGTCTCGGGCTCCCGTCTTCTCTTGGTCCAGTTGAGTTTGGGTTGAGTTGGTGTGTGCCTGTCTGTGTGCGCTGCAAGCCACACGAGCGGCATGCACTGTATGAACAGCACTAACCCCAGGCCAAGGGTACGCACGGAAGAACAAGCTAAGCCCTGGTTGGTTTTGGTCTGGGGGGGGGGGGGAGATGCCTGTCCCAGCCCACCTCAGTGCTCCTAGGCCCGAAAGAGCACGGGCAGGTAGCACGGAACCTGGAGGTAAGGTATGCGCTGGAGGCCCTGTACCTGTCGAGGTCAACGGATTGTCAGGGACGGGAGTGTGCGCGCTGGTTGTGGATCAAGTCGACTAATATCGGTGGAGGGGACAAGTGGGCAGGTCCCAGTTGATCATCGTACGGGAGAGTGGGAACGCTTCGGGACGATGGAAGCACAACGGTGATGCTGAGATGGGGAGAAAAACCAAGACAACCTAAGAAAAAGGAAAAAGGGGGCCTCGGACGAGGTGAAGGGGAAAACCATACCCTGCCGACTGCCTTGTGGTGAAGGTAAAGAGTAGGGTAGGTATCTGTTCCTGTATTCGGACTTGTTTTCCCTCACTTCTACTCCGTGCCCCCCTCAAACTGCTGGTAAGGCGGAGGAGCATCCAAAGGAATGCCCGGATAGCAATGGTACCTTGGACCTCCAGCATAGCAGCAAGGTGGTAGCCGGAAGGCTGCATCCAAGTTGCCTTGCAAGTCGTCGACTTGATGAAACACAACAATGTTGAAGAAGATATTGCTATGCAAAGGCTGCCTTGAACATTCCAATGCACAGAAGAACGCATCAAATATTGACGATATTTGATGGCATCCTTCATGGCGAAGTGAAAGAAAAGTGTACCCATTTTCCGATCCACAGAATCGACCACTTGGTCGCCGCGCATGTATAGTAGGGTGTAGCAAAAGCTGGGACTAGGAATGAAGAGCATCCAGACCGCCACTGGAGAAAGAGAGAAGTAACAATAAGAAGAGAATCAACGCGTTGGCTGTGAACAGCACTTGCTGAAGTCTGCGTAAATATCGTAGAGGGGGCAAGGTCCTGTTGGTCTGGCAAGACATCTTTGCATTGAGGTTGCCCCAAGAAAGTAGTGATGTACACCTTGCACTGCTTGCTTGTTGAAGCAGGTAAAGGGGGAAGAAGGTACCCAATCACCTGCGAGATGTGTTAGAATCATGGAACGGCAGCAAGAACAAGGAGACACACTCTTTGCGTTTTTCTTTTCTTTCTGTGGCAGCTAGAGGGCTCCCCATTTCCCGTCAAAGAGTTTTGAGTGGCCCAGGTGCAATTCAAGAGGGTGTGCAGCGGAAAGCGAGACCACGGTGTGGTAGGGCCCAAGAGAACAGCCTCGACACCCTTTGCAGGCCAAGGTACCTGCTTAGGTGGATAAATTTGCAGGGTGACAGCAAGCGGGAGCTAGAATAGCCCAGACGACGAGGGCAGAAAAAATGGAAAGATGGAAGGAAGTTATCCAAGAACTGCTACTAGAGAAATCCGGTTGCCAAGGTAAGGTATGGGTGTGGTGTTGTACTTCTCCATTGGTATTTCCGTACAGAGAACGGGTATGCAGGTACTTGGTGCAAGAGAATGGGGTTCCGCGAGTAGCAGGCCGAAAGTGGAAAAGATGTATAAGGGATGGCAGCTCTGGCAATGCAATAGTAGCTCGAGAGAAAGAAGAAGTGTAGCCGTTGTAAAGTCCGCCTGCCACTATACCTCATATGTGCGGGTGGTGTGCCAAGTTGAGATTTCACTCTCTTCGTATCCAAGTAAGGTAATAGGTGAAATGCTGGAAGGAAGATATCTCAATCTGAAAATCCCCCAAACGCAATGTCGTCGAGCATGCAGGGCAGGACAAACAGGCTGGACGGAGGTGCCTGCCATGCCTGTCTCTCTGGCGGCACAGTGTGACCAGAGTGCCCGTCTCAAGCGGTGGATCCGAGCTAACCGTCCTTGGTCATTCGCAGGTACGTACTGCCTAGCATCTTCCCGATTCCCCACACTGTTCTCCAGGCAAATCTCCACCTTTTGCTCGATTCTACTGCCAATCAAAATTCAGGAAACACAGGGATGGGCGGACTAGCAAGGCCAGGCCGGGCCTGTCAGGGCTCAGGGGTTGTGGCTAGTGGGGCCGCCCGTCTGCAAGTGACCAACCATCTCAGACCATGTCCTCCAGGCCGTTGCTTCTTTGTTCACCCAACAGCAACTAGAGCAGGAGCTGCCTCTTCAGATCGTGGGTTTCGGGGGGCAAGAGGGAAGGAAGCGGGGAAACAGAGCCTACCGGACTGGACTCTGGTTTCCATTATGACAGACAGATGGAATCGAAATTGGAAACAAGCCATCAAAGGTGCCTGGTGATAGGTCTTCGTACCTACCCACTAACAGCATGCACACTACCTACGAAGCACATGGGAGCCTCTCGCGACGTCTTGGCTCCTCCCCGTCCATCCGAATCCATGGTGGCACCTCGACGGGGACATCTTGTTTCCACCTCAGCGCTTCCTCTCTCATTTGCTATATTTCTCGCTAGTTCATGGCTGGACCTCTGTTCGTACATCGATGCTACCTCGGTCTGCATAATTACATACTCATCAAATCCTCACTACTTCGTCGTGCTCCGGCCGAGACTTCGATATACAGTAGACTCGGGCGACAAGTCGCGGCAGACGCAGCACCGGCATACAACAATACCGTATCCATATTGATACCTCGCTACTCCGTTCTTAATCAAGGCCAGCCTCGACGACTAAGAAGCTTCCCGAATAAAGCGGGTTGCACTGCCATCTCCTATGGTCAATCCTTCATCCGCGTCTGCAGAAAATGATGGCACTTGCGCATAAGATTCTTTCGAGTCCTACAACTACAAATCACCTCAATCACCACCACCCCGCTCATGACATGCCATGCCTGCAGAGAAGCGTTGTGTGATACGTCTGCATAGTACGCCCATGTACCCCAGTCGACGGCGGCACACGCATACACTTCATATATTCGCCAGCGCGGCGTACTTCCTACATTACATTGAAGGTTTTGTTTCCATATATTCCGGCGCTACCGTCATGTTTGCACATCCGATGTTCCCTTCGGCCCACCATTCTTCCGTGGCCCCGGAGGGGGGGGGATCTGAGGGCTAAGAACAACTTCTAAGGATGCGACTATCACACAGCGAAACTACACTATCGAAACACCTAGGAAAACCAGCGTGAGCGAGGAACGAACTTTTCCGGATCGCCGACATGAATACTACCTGCGGTCAGAGTGGTCCCCGACGATGCCGTTAATACTGCAGCTTTCTTCTTGTATGCTTTCCCTCAGCCTCCGGGCATGAAGTGGCCATCTGACCTCTATGCGGCTGTAACAGGCTGAGCCCATTCGCCCATCGCCGATCCTCCAACCTTTAGCGGCCTTTCGCCCCTTGATCAACAAATGGCCAAGTCCAACTTCGGTCAGCGGTGGCATAGCGCTGCAATCAGGAGGAGCATATTTGAACCACCAGCAAGTCGAGCCAGCCAACCGGTTGACTGCATCCATCGTCCTAAGTGCCCAAGAACATCTGGTGGTCTCGCCGTTGCAGGGTCTCACCCTTCTACTACTTGGCCTAGGCCGCGGACGTACGTGAGACACAGTCGTGATCCAAACACGTCTGTTTCTTGAACGCAACATAGAGCACGCGCCATCATGTCCGGGAACACTTTGTACGGCAGCGGGAGCCACGGTCGATGTTCGCATGGCGGTTTCCCTGGAAAGTTTGGAGGTTTGCCGTTGAAAGTTGCAAGGGTGGCTGGAATTCTGCAGCTTGCCATCGGTCCTCATCCCTCACCACCCCGCACTAGATCCATGTTCTACGAATGTCCGTGGGCTCACGTTCCGATACAAACAAGGCGACAAGGTACAAGGAAACGTCTTTCAGTCTACGCCACTTAATATCAGTATGAGACGCCTCGAAGTTGCTGAGACCCTGTTCTACAAGTATCAGCTGAAGAGGAGTCAAGGTCCCAAGTGCCATGATGCGAGAAATCTGGAGCCACGGCCGCTACTACCGGCAAAGGGAGAGAGGACTACGACCCACAAAATGACGGACCAGCTTTTGCACTGAGTATCGCCGGTCAATGACCTATAGGAGACTATCACTACATACCATCTCTGATGCCAAAGGGAGGCACCACTAGAGGCAGAGGTGCATGTGCAGATGCAGGCAGAAGGTTTGGCGATGAAGGTCTGGGTTCAGGGCACTTCTCCGAGACCGAGGAGGGGTAAGGATCTGTGGAGTAAACGGGCTGCTGCAGCATGTCACGCGCGCCATCCTCAAGCTAACCTCCTTCATCTTCAAAGGCTTCTTCGATTGGACTGTCCCACTGACCTCACAGTGGCATCATCCAGACTCTAGGCGTATGGCACGGTTCGGAGCTTTCGATATCGAATCAGGTGTAAACCCAGGTAAGCAGTATTGACGACGATGAAGGAACGCACTGCCGGCAACCGGTGGGCGGAGACAATGTCTGGTGCGTCTTTGAGATAGATACGACCACGGATGACTTTCCGCCTCTAGGCCGACGCACTACTAGATCCGCAGTATCACGCATTTCGATTCCATCGACCAGCTATGAGGAGAGTATGAACGCATCAGACATTGAGGGGTTTTCTTTAGCCATTTGAATACCTTTCTACTCCTGAATTGCAGCTTGTCTATCAACCACACCCTGGTAAGAGTGAGACTGAGCGTCACGCTTCAGTTTTGGACGATGCGCCGAGCTTGAGACCTAGCAACCCGACCTATATCACGTATACGAAGATGACGAGATATACCCAGGTATTCTCTGCAGTTAATAGGATGATCTGGTGGTCTACAAATGCGACCATCAAAGACGGCAACGAAACGCAACGTACCGCACCGTCACTGGAGATCGACGACACCGATGGAGGGCGAAAGTCAAAATCAGCCAGGGGGCTTTACCCCGGATTATCATCTTGTCATTAAACTCAACCGTGAGCGGCTGCTGCAACGGCTCCCCAAGAAGCCAGAAGTCAAAAGGTGGCCAGAAAAACGTCTGAGCGGGCGTCAAACATTCACAACCTAGGAGCACCTATCCGTACGCGGATCTTGAAGGGAATCATCTGGAAGTTTGACCTTGGAATGTTGGGTTTCTTCGAAGTTGCTGCCCACCAAGCGGCGCTACTGCAACTAAAGACGGATACTCAGGGTCTCCAAGATCGGTCCTCTCCTGGCCCACCTGGCGCGACCGCAACTGTTCCGCTCTTGCATCTGGTCTGCCTCAGATTACAGTGTAAGTCGGCATCAATACCATGGCTTGCTGTTCGCAACTAATTCTGTACTGCGATATTGTAGCAACGTCAACAGGGGCCTGCCAATCGTTTCCTAGGGGGCACTGGTGGTACTCGGTGCGGAGGCAGAGACGGGACAGGCATGCACCCGGCAGACTGGCATGATGATGAGGAGATGCGGCACGAGATCAGCGGAAGTCAAGGAACCTAAACTTGACCGAGCAGAAAAGACGAGCCAGGAATTCGGTGGGCCGTTGACCTCCTGAGGCCTGTTTAAGGAGAGAAAGAGGGGTGGGAAACAAGACGGAGATGGCCGTTCTGATGAGGTACGGCAGACGAAATGGCGTGAACGTTAAAACCACTCTCAGAATTGCTCAACCGTGGGGACGTCAAGACGCAAGAGAGTTGAGGGGTTTTGATGATTCGATGAGGGGTTCCTGTACGGGAACGACCACCCCCGGCCCCCCGCCCTGATCCGCTGCAGCGACCCTTGGTTGGGGCCAGAGTCCAATCAGGACGAGGGCAATAGGGAAAACCCTCCGCCAACCCTGCTGGGCCTGCGCATTGCGTTACGACGGATACTGATCTCGAACGCGGCTGGCTAGGCTTTAGCAGGCCATGGATGATCTTTACTCGCATTGTCAACGGCATTTGTCTGAATTCTGCAATCTGACTTGACGCCGGCGGTGGTAGGGTTGTGCGCAACAGGCCCTCATAGGCTCACCCATATCGTCATCCATTTGGACCTGGACCGGCCCCAGCTCGAACCTTGACTTTTTCCTTTTTTTACGTTCGAGGCGACGCAGCCCATTCCGGGTCAGTGAGGCATCACATCCGACCGAACACGAGGCTCAGCGATAGCGGTTTGCGAGGTAGGTCTCGGACCAGGTCATTCATTATCTGTGCACACCTTGACTATGCGAGGCTGGCGTAACCCTACGTAGACGTGGACGAGGCTGCGATGAAGGAATAGCAGTGTACGCTTTTGGTAGTGGGTATTGTCTCCGTCACCGGGTTGAAGCCGGATGACACGTTTCTCTTTAATTATACAGCAGTTCTACAGGTATCATGCGCCTCCTCAATATCTTGTTGTTTCGTCATTCTGAGAAGTGTTTGGGAACCACTTCTGGACAGTCTTCCTCATATCGCATTCGAGCGTGCTACTGTTTATGCCGCGGTCGCCTCGGGTCCCTTCTGGGACTTGAGCTTCTCCTCAAACTTTGCAAATTCTTGGATGGCAATCTCCTCCTCCTGGTCGAGGATCTGCTCGACGGACTTGACCTCCTCAATCTGGATATGCCAACGTCAGCACGTATGTTCTACGGTTATTCGGGAGGCACTTTGCAGGAAATCTCCAGGAAACCTCCCAAGAACCACAGATGTTGAGTCAACTTACATAATGCATCAGCATGCTCTCAATACCATTCTTCAACGTCACGGTGCTAGAATCGCACGTCCGGCACGCACCGCGAAGCTTCAGCAGCACGGTACCCTCGTCCGTGAACCCGCGGAACTCGATATCGCCGCCGTCCTCCTGGATAGCAGGCCGTATCCTCGTCTCGAGAAGCTCCTTGATCATGCCGACAACCTCGCTGTCGTTTTCATCGTACGCCAAACTATCGGGCTCCTCGGGGGCGCCGTCGGCGGCCGCACCGACACCGCCTTCCTTGTCTGCCGAGACGGTGACGATGGTCTGGCCCGAGGTGATAGCCTCGGTGATGAGGGCGAAGATCTCCGGGCGGATGTGTGCCCAGTTCGCGTCGGGGGATTTGTTGACGGTGATGAAGTCGGCGCCGTAGAAGACCGAGGTGACGCCGTCAATGTTCATGAGCTGGGCGGCGAGCGGGGACGGGTAGGGCGGCGCGATGGTGGAGCGCGGGTTGAGGTACTCGATGAAGGGGGTGGAGAGGGTGTCGGGGAGGATGCGGTGGTTCGGGAGGAACTTTACGGCGTCTGGGTTGGGCGTGTTTTCGGTCTGGATGAAGATTGTGCGGACGGCGCCGGTGCGGGCGGCAAAGGGGGATTGTCGCTGGAGGGATTGTTGGTGTCGACTTGTTGTTGTCGTCGGGCGGCGTTGTGATGTTTGGTTGTTTTGGAGGAAGCCGGTGTGTACGCTGGCGAAGGATCGCGATTGTGAGGGTCTGGAGGTGGCGAGCCTCGATGTGCGCGCGACGGCGCGGAGGGCCGTCCTCGTTGCTCTGTACGATGACATTGTAGCGAAAGATTTAATGTGTTTGGTGGCCGTCGGGGTCTCTCCGATCCGATGATTCGTCGCTATCGTCGTTGTTGACTGAATATACAATGTCGAGGGCGAAGGTTTTTGGTCGTCCAAGAGTGAGGAGAAAAGTCGTAAATGTTGTGGGAAGATGTATCGGCGAAAATGTTGATTATTCAGACGTATCCGTACAAATTTACCAAACCTCACACCTCGGCATTACATCCGGTGACGGAACCTTTGAATTTTGACAGCAGGCAAATTACAGCGCGAGGAAAAAGGTTGACAAAACTGGAAAGAGCTTTCCACTTTTTTTGCACATGCCTCTCAATTCCGAGGCGTTGCATTACCAATCATCGAGGCTCTCTGCGGGAATTGGTCAGTTTTTGGCCCTGTCCTTTCTTGGGGGTCAGGGTCAGTGAACGGTGGACGGTGGACCACTCAGTCAGTGCCAGGGGGTTCGGACAGCTGGAGAAGAATGACGCAGAAAACTGCCACTCATGGAACCCCTCGGGTTGGTCCGTGGAATTCCCGGTTTCTATGAAGTGAATGCTTTTGTGGGGAGCTCGGGGACAGCTAAGGTAAGGTATTTTGGCGGTCAAGAGGCTGTTCACCGCCCAAGGTTTTAAGGAACCAAGGTATTATGGAGGAAAACGCCCCGCCGGAAAATCGTCAAACAGACAGACGGCAGAAAAAAGTTTCGAAAAGGAGCCCAAAGCAGAGAAGTCTCTCGCAACCCAACTGGCAGAAAAAAAGGAAAGAAGACAGAAAGAAAAAAAAAAAAAGGAACGCGGGGTTATCGTTACTCAAAGCGTCCAACGACGTTATCTCGATCCTTGACCACCTTACATTACCTACCTATCTGTACCCTGAATCGCAAAGGCTTGTCCTTACCCTTGTCTCTAGTCAGCACTTTATCCGTATTTACTTTTTTTTTTTCCTTTTCGGAGAGCGAGAGAGCAACCATTGAACATCGACGCAACATACCCGACAACGGAGAGCAACTTTCCAGCCAGCAAACGGACACTCTTCCACGACACTCGTTCTTCGCCAGCGACAGCCTCCTCCGGACCCCCTTCCCTCCGCCCTCTCCAGAACCAAGAAATAGTCGACCGAACCGCCGGCTTCCCTACTCCTCCTCCTCCCAAGATGTCAATCCCAGACGACACCTCCACCAACGCCGCCCCCCCGACATCCCCCAAACGCGCCGCACAAGACGACCTAGCAACCGAACCCGAGTCCCGACCCCCCGCCGCGAAACGGTCCCGCGCAACGAGCCCCTCGCAACAAGACGACGATGACGATGGCGAGGCAAAGACGAGGGCTACGACGGCGGCGATGGCGAATGCCTCACTGACGGCAGGTGAAGGCGAGGGTGAGCTGGGTGACGGTGAGGGTTCAGCAGCAGCAGCAGCAGCAGCAGCAGCAACAACAGCTCCCACGGTGCAAACGACACAGACACAACCCGCGGCAGGAGCAGCAGCAGACGAGACGTCAGAGACGACAACACAGCGTCCTCCCCCGTCCGCGCCAAAGACAAAGATGTGTGGTGTATGCCACGAAAAAGAGGGAAAATACAAGTGCACGCGCTGCGCATTACCATTGTACGTACTTTTTTTCACAATTATGCTCGAGCCTGTTTCATGGCGTTTTCTTCAAAAGTACTCATTCTTCGTTATACGTGGTTTGTTTCTCATTATATACATTATCTTTACTGACTTGCGGGCTTCCCCTTTCTCCCTCCAGCTGCTCCGTCCCGTGTAACAAAACGCACCGCGAGAACCACCCGCCCGATCCCGAACCGGCGCCGAAACCCGCCTCAGCCGCCATCGAGCCCCCCGCGCCGAGCGGCGATGCCGCCGCCGCAAGCGACCCAAGGAACCCCTTCAGCGTCCTCGACGACTCGGACCAGCTCCGGTACCTCTTCCGACGGTACCCGACGCTGCAGGCGCGACTCCTCGAGATCTTCGCCGCCACGGAGCCGCCGCCGGAACTGCAGTCCACGGGGAGCAGCCTCAACGACATGATGAAGGCGCGGGCTTTGGCGGCCGCGAACCCGAAAAAGGAGCAGTGGACGCACGACGTCGGGATCCGCAAGGGGAAAGAGGCGCTGCGGAGGGCCAGGGCCGCCGACGGCGAGGACGGCGAGGGCGTGAGGGAGTACGTCGAGCTCATTAACCACCTCATGTCGCAGGCGAGCGCGGCGGCCGAGGCGGAAGAGGTGATTAGGAAACAGGCGGCTGAGAAGGATGCCGAGCTGATTAGACGCCTCATGACGGAGGACCGCGGGTGAGAGGGCGTTTTGTGGTTTTGGATTGGGTTATGGTATGATTAAGGCGGGCGGCCTGCGTGTATTTTGCGGCAGCCCTGTGTTGGATAAGGCGTACGTATACACACGTTCGACCGCGAGTGTGCTGCAAAACCGCGCCGTGTATGCATAGATGGTATCGATCATCAGGTAAGGGTCCTATTTACTCCCTTGACAAAAGTTTTCTTTCGGAGCTCAGTGGTTGACTTTGAATCGCGCAAAGAATCCGCTCTTGGGCGACCTCAAGGCGGTGTCGGACGGCGGGCTGTTGTCCCGGGAGTGGTTTTCTTCCCGCCCGTGTCTGGTGAGGGCTCCGAGTTTATGCTTCAGAGCCCATATGGAATCCGCCTTGCGCAGTGACGGCTTCGTCTTCGGCTGCGGCTGCGCTTCGTCGCTTTGGGTCCAGTCCACGCGGTGCTCATAGGGGTTGTGATCCGCCGCCTCGGGATCATCAAGATGATATGGTGAAGAAGCACCAGATTCAAAGGGGAGGAGAATGTCACCGGTTGTAGCCCGCCTGGCAGATCTGGTGTGGTCAATCTCACCGGCCCGGCCAACACCCAGCGGTCCTTCAATGGTGTGTCTGTGGTGGTTACGGTCACGGTGCGCGCGGGAGCTGCCCAGCTCAGCCATTTCCGGAATCTGTTCGTGGGTGATGGGGGCGCGGTCCTGATGCCTCTCGCGGTGGCCTTGCGCAATCCTGAGGGCCGTCCTCGACAGCTTGCGAACGAGACCCTTGCTGTCCGACGTCTCGGTCGTCGTTGTGCGCGAGAACTGCGCCGCGGCGAACTGTGGGATGAAGGGGTGCTTGTCACCGTCAGAGCCTTTGCGTTTCGAAGACGAGTCCTTTCCGCCAGACTTGGAGCTGCGGGTGTCTGCGTCGGACGTCTTGGACTTTGACCTTGCGGAGCTGCCAGAATCCACTCTCTCCTTGGTTGGCTTTACGGTAGGCTGCGCAGGTCTGGTGGTGGTGGTGGACTGGCCGGGCTTGAGTGACCCTTGATCAAGATACTCCCTAGCCAAGCTTGCATGCTGTGGGTGACCATCTTGTAGCCCGTTGAGGGCTGGAGCTGGTGCTGCCGGTTTGGACGGCGCGGTGGCCTCCGCTCTGGCCCTCCTTCTCTTCTCGGCGTGAAGCTTCTGATCGGCAAGGACCTTGACGAGTTTTTGAGACAGTTCCTCGGGGTCGAAAGGCATCGGCTGCGAGCACCGCTGTCTCGGCCGAGGAGGGGCGATTGGCTTGATGGGCTGAGCTGCCGCCGCCGTCGGCTGATCACGAGGGTAGCTCATGTTGTATAACATGTTGATCGCTGGAATGGAAACTACTCCACCGATACTCGAGATCAAGGTTCCAATTAAAGATTCAAATCTTCGAAACTCCGGAATGAATGTGAATGACGAGGCTCAGTGCCGAGTTTGTTAGAAAACAAGGCGTAGTCGCAAAAAGCGTTTCCGGACGGAGGGCGCTTTTTATGTATGAATGGAGATGCTCCAGTGGGTAATTGAGTGAACTGAGAGAACGCGGGGGTGGGTTGATCGTCAGAGCAAGTCGGGTCGGGCAGTTAAGGTTGTTTGTTTCCTGGCAGGGGTAGTAGTCATGTAGGTAACATCCGTTGCCAAAAAAGAGGCTTGCTTTCCTTTGACGTGAACGCCCGGTTGAGAACGCCCCTGTGGGTGAGAGAGAAAAAAGATAGATGAAGAAGGATCTACAGTTGGAAAGTTGAATGACCCTTGGGTTCAACAGCGGTCTCGGGGTGTCCTGGGGTTATGTATATGTCATACGACCGGGACGTAGGAACCGGACAAGCAAGCAAGTAGCACGCGGGCTCAATCCAAGGCTCAAGCGAGCGAGATGCACCACCGTCCGTCTGGACCAAGGCGGGTGAAGTGGGTCGCAGAGCTCTTCTTCCTTTCGCGGTTCCAAGGGTCCTGTCGTCCTGTCGGCGATTGGGAACGTCCCAGGCGCTGGACCTGCGTTTTGGGGGCTATTGGTGCGTGCGTGTCGTGCGTGCCGGAGTGCGGCGGTTGGAAGGTGGTGAATAACGTCGGGCAAGGTGTCTGTGTATGTGTGTGCGTATGTGTGTGATGTGAGGTACGCAAAGGTCGATTAAACAGAGACAAGTAACAGTGACAGAAGAGACAAGAGACAGCAAAATAAAATAAAAAAGGCGGAAAAGATGCAAGAGAAGATGTCGGCGGTGGTGTGCGTCGCTAGTCCCGCAGGGTCCCAGACAATATGTACCTCACGGGGACAAACTTCAGACCTGCCACCAAGCGTGCTATTTCCTCTCTGTGTCTTTCTCTGATGCCTCTCCGTATGCGCGCGTGGTGACGGCGAGACAGAGAATGGGACGGGAGCCTGGTCTGGCAGAACTCGGACGACGGAGGGTGTGGCTTTTGTGGGTGGTGTCTGGCGCAACAAGGATTTGGAGAGACAACACACTCGACTTTGCGTGGTGTTTGTGTGTGTGAGAAATGCGAGGGCGATCTAGCGAAAGACCGAGGAAAGAGATGAGAGACCAGAGAAGGCTGAAGAGACAAGAAAAAGTGACTGAGAGGGAGAAGTGGTCGGTAGCGAGAAGAGACGGGCTTTGCGAAGGGGGTATGGGAACGTGAAGAATTAAAAACCACAAGGGGGGGTTCACGGATGTCTTGAGAGACACGAGCGTTCCATAGGTTGCATTTTTAGACACCTCTGATGGTATTTAATGGCTTGAGGGACTGACTGGTTCTGGTCATGGTAATGGCCCGGTGTGGATGGGAATGAATGCATGGGGGTTGGATTGGAGACCATTTGCGTCCATTTAGACCAAAGGCAGACAAGTACTCGGAATCTCAGGGGATACCATAATTCTTAGTCCATACCGTCAGCATGGAAAAGCATTTTCGAACGGCTTCATGCTTGGAAAGCTTTACGTTGCACTCTCCATTCTGGAGCCTTTCGGGATTGCAGTTAAAGCAGGTGGGGTTTGGGAAATACAACCGCCTCCATCACGCATCACGCATCGCGCCGCTTATTTGGCTTCAGGTACTAGGCTTCAAAAGATCCCTCGCCTTGCCTCACTGAGCTGTAAGACGGGGAATTGGACCTTTAACCAGCCCACCTCGCCTTACTATCCTCAGTAACCTTACCTGACGGAGACTTGTACCTTACCTTAAGCGGCGAGGATGGGAACTCGAGGGCCCTGGACAGTTCGTTATCTGAGGGTTGCCCACCTTTTCTTTGCGCTTGTCGGCACGCAGCGCATGGGACAGACAAGCTATCAAACCTGCATACCACCGCCAGTCTCCTAGACCCATTCTTTCTTTCCTGTACTTCCCCTTCCCTGTCCCTTTCCTTCTCTCGGCGGCACCAATCAACCCTGCGTCTGAGGTGTTGTATCAACATGTTCAGCGTGACGACCTCCTGCTGTACGAATAGCCGACTTCTCCGTACTAGTCCGATGTGATTTCATTAGAATATCGGCCCTAGCCTGTGGGCGAGTAAGGGCGCGCATGAACTGGGGTGCCGGGAGACCACCACCACCAGCTAACCCGAACCATTCCTTATTCGACCAAGATCGTGACCTGCAAAGAAAATATACCACAAAAAATAAGGTGACAGGGGACTGAAGGGGGAAGAATAAAAATTAAGGTAGCATGGCCGTGGTGCTTGAGCCTACCTTTTGGATGAACCGGCCGGACAAACGCGGTATGGCTCGACATGTTAGACGCCTTGTTGGTCATCCGAGTTACACTGGACCAGTGATCGGATGCCGCTTTGGGACTGTCTCCGGGCGTTCGCACGCTTCACCGACACCACACGGAGCCGGCTTCCTCCTCCTCTCTCCTCACTGCTCAAGGACCTCGACCACTTCTTCGGACGTCGGTGGCGCTGTCTGTTCTAAAACCTCGACAGCAATTCACCATCCGACCTCTGTATGAGAGCATGGTCGGAGGGTAGGACAATGGCCAACATGCCGTGTACATTGTGGCCTGAACATGCTTCTGATGTGTGTCGAAGGGTATGTGCGGGCGTTAGTCACTGTAGGGCAGCCTGTGGTGCGCTTCTTGCAAATGTCAAGACTGGAGGCTAGAAGCAAGTCTGCTGCGGCAGGGGAAGGGGTAAAGGGGGAGTTGACTAGTTCCCTGACAAGCGTGATATGCACGGTGGCTCCATGTGCGCCGCACAACCGAGTTAGACGGCTTCGTTTCTGTCTTCTGATCAATGGGTTGAGGTTGCTGGTGTCGACTACGGGAGGGTGTGGAGGTGATGCCACGTTCCTTCGGGTCACCGTCCCTCCCCAGTCTCCCCCAGCTTTCCAACCCCAGACGAGGGCTGTCACGCTGGGTACGGAGAGATCGACAGACAAGAAGTTCGACCGCGCCATCTGAAGCCTCAAGACATCCCAGCCATCGAGCATGGTGAGGTTAGCTTTTGGGCTCGCCTATGTCTTGGAACCATCACCAAATCACCGTCAGTAAGCAAGTAAGTCGACGGAGAAAAAGTAAGAGAAAAGAAATTATCAGAGACAAAGAAGAAGGAAGATCGGCGGCTCTCGGCAGTGAGTGATATCCAGACGGTTAGTGAATAAACGCTGCAGATGCAGACGAAACCGGAAGACTCGATCCCCCAGGGAGGTTGTTAGACCCAACTGATGACAGAGTCAATCCTATTGGGTATGATCAGCAAATGGTCCGCCAAGCGTCGTCTTATCTCTTAATGCTCCTGCAACACACGCTGGATTCGGCCATGGCGCGATCTCCTGAATAGGCGCACCCAGTGGATAGAACCGCAGCATCTCACCCCTAGACTCTAGACTGTTGACTTTGAGTCTGACCAACAGCAATTGTCTCGGTTGGTGGTAACGCTGCCTGCTTGCCTTGGTAAGAAATTCTGCTTGCCATCCGAACAAACTGAACAGTACGTCAAGAGAGCTTTGTTGCTTTTCTCACTCAGTCCGCCGACTTCACCGTTCTCACCGCAATCCGTATATCGCAAAAAGGCGCGGCTCCCAGCGCAGCAAGGTCTCTATGCAAAACACGCCATATAAGACTCGGTGAGGTATCGCGAGAGAAAGGTACCGTAGGAATGGGGTTGTCCACTTGTGCAGCTTGCTGCACGTCTGCATGTCTTGCCCTCGTATCGCCTTCCATGTAACCCTACGCTGGGTTTTACGAAGCCATATCATGCAGCTTGGCGATGCAGCCACGCATCCATCGAGTGTGTTGCTGGCGGCACCCTGAACTGCCGCGTACGAACCCCACAAGCAGCCCTCCATTCCCTGTATCCGTACGTAGTTGTTGGAGGCACACAAGTCATTCTGCTACGCCACAGCTGCAAGTGTGTGAAATAAAGATTGCTGATCCGGAGCTGACCATTTTGACTTTGCTAACACACCCAATTCCCTTGTGTTCTCTCTCGGAGCCGGGCCGGGCCTGATGTGTGGTTTGCGACCTAGACGTAGCCTAACCACCAACGGCGAAATGTCGAGTCCCTCAGCTCGACACGTAACTCAACCTCTTCGAATACGTATTGCCGGTCCTCACAAAAAATCTTGAGCAAGAGCATGGCATTCCAGCTCATGATGGTTTTGGAATAGCAGCAGCCCGTATAACTAAGTGAGGCGGGTACTGTTCGCCAGACGACGCCGTCGTCAAGCCGTGGCTGGCATTTTTCAGTCTATTGAGAAGGCCAATGCCACAATCGGCCCGCTTATCGACCATGCGGTTCTCCCGCTGCAGACCTGAAAAAGCAAGAAAGAAAAGAAAAGAGGCAGGCTAGAGCCAGCGCTATTGTGTTGCACTGACTTGAATTCGAGTTGCTGGCGAGATCGTGAGAACCACAAGTGAAAGCCGCGACATTGTCATCAGCTGATGTTGGATGAGTCCAGGACTTCATGTGGTAGCTTGGGATATACACTTTGATGGAGGCACTTGTAACTATATCCGTAGCCAAAGCGCAGGAACGTGGCCCAAGACAAGGGTCCTCCAGTGGAGAGATGCCAAGAACGCGGCCACAATTTAGTCGACGACGTTATTTCCACTGCGATCCGTGTCAGCGCCGGTTGCCAATCCTTCGTGTCAGAAAGTCGAACGATAAATTGTTTCCATCGTGAAACGGAGAAGGATCAAGTAGCGCGATCTGGTGTTTGCAAAGGGGGGTTCATTGGAGCTGAAGACGTCGGTACCATTTCTTCATTATTGCGATGCTCAGGTAGAAAAGGGCTTGGGACGAGGGATGGCCAGGCAATTTCTCAATGAACCGTGCTCAATTTTTTGACAGAAGTTTATTCGAACCAGGCTCCAATAGTCCGAGTTGAGGCCGGTGCGTCGTCAAATGTCCAGGGAGGTCGGACACATTGAATGAAGATGCCGCAACCGTACTCCGTACAGAAATACACAATATTGTTTGTGTCCGCCGTGAAGTGGGCAAGATACTTGATGGAATATCCGTAGATGGAGCAACTTGCATCGCAACCCGGCCTGGTGGAATGTCGAGGCCAGATCTGCGTGCCAATGCCGACCGAAGATGACCGGCAACCATCCAGGTCCCGAGCTACTGGAACGGCTCAGAGCCATTGCCGGGATCATATTCCTGGAGAAAACACCTTGGAATGCCGCTTATTTCGAGACGAAACCTGGAGTCTTTTTTTGGTTCGCTCCAAACATGGTAAACTGTGACTGTTAGTATGCGAAGGAATCAACGATGGTGCGTTTCGGGAGCATGGCTTGATGGTGAAAGCAACCCTGCAGAAGCTCGTGGAGCTAAGCTAGGAAGCTTTATTGGCCTGCGGACCACGTGCTGATGCGAAATTGCGATGATATGGGCGCCGGAGGATCATGGCACAAATTGAAGTGCTTCATCTTGAGACATGAATGGTGTCTGTACGCGCGCCAGCAGCATTGTTCTTGACAGAAGCTTGTTGGGCATGAGTTTGGCCCTGCAGGATTGACCCATGGCGAGCTTGTCGCGAACTGGGCATCCGTACGTCATCGGTGAGTTGGTATTGGGTTTCGGCGCAAGTGAGTTTGCTGCTGAAAAAGGTAGATTGTCCGGACAAGTGCAGCGTACCTCGTGAGGACAGTGGGAAGAAGCATAATAGTAGGTCTTGGTGTACAAAGGGATGTTCATCTGGGGTTCAAGTCCTGAGCTGGTAGAGTTTGCAGACCGCCAGTTGGTGATGTTGGTCGCAATGAGGAAGCTGGACCCGGAGCAACGAGCCGGAGTCAACCCCGGACGACATGATTCACGAGGGTTTGATTTGACTTGATTTTTGGTGGGCTACTGCGTATGTAGTTCGGGCTGCTCAATGCAAGGAAAGGAATCAGTGTAGGTAATAGTAAGGCAGGTTGGCGTTAAGGAGCAGTGGCAGCTACGGATGCATAACATCTTAGGTACCTTTGGTGCATCGAAGCCGTCTAAGGTACTTAAGTTAGGTCGGCCCAGTAGATTTCTAGCTTCGGAAGGAGAGAGGTCCACTGGAGCAGCAAGGGACGTATGAGTATCCGTTGGGTACCGACGGACTCGCACCACACCCACCGAGAAAGGTAGTAGCTGTCTCCCTGCACTTTCAAGTTCCACCTTGAATTTGGAGCCACTGAGGGTCTTGAGATATCTTGAATGGAGAGGAAGGATGAATTCAGCAACGGTGACCAATCATTCGGCAGAAGGAAAGTTCAAACGTTCCGTGGACGTCGAAGGGGTCCAGTGGTACCAACGCTTTCAAGTCTTGTCATTGGATGGATGGGCCCCGAACAAAATGGACCTTGAATCCACTCCGCATGGTGCCGGGGGCCCGAGCTTCCTTCTTTGATTTCACAGTGTTCCTTCCTCCTCATCCAGAAATGGAAGTACTTAGGTACCGACTGGTAATTACACACAGTAGAACGGAAAGAGCCCAGCTGCTCAGGGCGCAGTGGAACATCCCTTGTCCCTTTCTCCGCTTCCCTGGTTGCTCCCGTCCACTTCCACTTTCAATTCCACGTCCACATCCACGTTCAGTTCTGTCCCATGCAGCCGTTTCTGTCCTGAACCCCCCCGTTGCAGGTGATAGAGTATCCATTCGCATCAGCTGCATTCCCAACCAGAGAGACGGATACGCTTATTTATCTCTGTACACCTGTTTTTGACTACTCCAACTTGCTGATAAACCAGCAGACGTGCCCGTGCCTTTGGTCTTCCATGGTCCGGTAGGGTCGGCAGCAAAATATACGGACTACCTTACCTTACGGACACCGTACACAGTAATCACTAGAACCTCAGATTTCTTGCTCCGTATTACCTACAAAGTATCCGTACCGTACGGTATTACCCCTCAACGGCTCGTCTCTCGGTCAGCGGTCCTGATCGTCGCGGCCCCTTCCCGCTCTCCCGTTAGTCTCTCAATTCGTCTCCTGACGGGACCTTGACGCTTCTTTCTCCTCCTCCACCACCACCACCACCCCTATCCATTCCCTCATCTTACTTGGTCAAGTCTGGTCCCAAACCAGCGCAGCCTAGGATTCAACCATCCACAACTCCAACTACAACGACCAAAAGGTACGTAAGGAAGCAAACCTACCAACCCCCGGGCCCCCGGCCCCCTTCCAGAAGCAACAGGAACAGCACATGCCGTGCTACAAACAAGAAGTGCCATTGCGTTGGTGTCCTGGTTTGGTTCGATCTTGAACCCCCTAGTCAACGCTAGAGGGGACAAACGCTCCCCCCATCATCGCCCAGCCAAGTTGGCAGAATCCTAAATCCCAATTTCAATCGCAATCGCAGCAAGCTCGGCCCCCCCCTTCCTGAATTTCCCTGCTGGAGCTTGGAAGGGCCCGGAGCCCTTGGCCTGGATCCGCGACTGACCTCATTTGCTGTGTGTCTAGCATCGTCGACGAACTGGACGCTTACGCTGCTCCTCTCAATCCACGCCCGTCACTTCTCACAAGCCCGACATCTGCGCACCGGTGGAGCTCCTAGCGAGAAAAAAAATAAACCAGGCCCCTTTTTCGAACCCCTGGTCTGCCGCACCACGAAGCTCTATCCTGCTTCTCCTGTTCCTGTTCCTGTCCCATCCTATCCGTACGAAGTATCCGTACTGCGTTCGCGCTATTCAGACGCACCCAGTACCTCTAACGGATACGCTTGTGTACCTGATCTGACGAGCCGCAGTCCCGTTCGTACGTACGTACCTTAGACTGTACCTTACCTACCAGATCATACGCACACCTTGCTTGCCCAAGCTGTGGTCAAGGTTTCTCACCGGCCCAGCAACCATTTCCAAGGGCCCCCGACGAGAAGCAAGGTACACACGAGGCAGACCACACTAAGAAGAACGGTCCCCGGTGGGTTTGCCATGCCTTCCTTGAGGCTCTGAAATCCCGGCTTTTAGTCAGTGCATCCACTGTC